ATGATCCAGTAACAAACACAACTGGGATGGTTAGTCAATCGGAACAACAACCATCGCAGGAACTGCAATTCCTGTGAATCAAGTTTCTCACCACAAAGAAGAGAGCCGGTGTAAAGTCTACATCTCTTCGTCAATCCATCCCTGCAGGGATGGGGAGCACACTTCAACGACTGACTGAGGTTTGTTTTACGCCGCTTTTAGCAATATTCCAGCAACATCACGGCGGGGGACACTAGAAATGGGCTTCACACATTGTACCCATGTGGGGATTCGAACCCGGGTCTTCGGCGTGACGAGCCAACGCTTTAACCATTAAGCTACCCCACCGCCCCCACACTTCAAGGAGGAGGTTGCATCAGGGGGTTTGGTCACCAAACGAAAGGAGTCTGCACATAAATCAAGTAGAATTCAAGGCAGTTATCGAGGCAATTCAACATTGGGCACATGTACTGGGAAATCAAGTTCTCATGATCCACACAGACAACTTGACAGTAGCATTTTAAATAAACCTACAAGGTTCAACAAGATCAGCGCCTCTACTGCAACTGATGTTTCAACTATTCAACCTAGTGGACAATCTCAACTTATGGATAAGAGCTTGCCACATTCCAGGAGCAAAAAAAGTCTTAGCAGACGCCTTATCCAGACCAGTTCGGCCATCTCCTACGGAAAGGATGTTACACCTGGAAGCATTCCAACTGATAACGAGAGATCAAGGTCGTCCTCTCATAGATCTGTTTGCAACACGCTTCAATCATCAAATTGCAACGTTCGTCTCACCAGTACCAGACCCACAAGCTTGGGCTCCCGACGCTCTAGCCATATCATGGGAAGGACTAAATGCTTACGCATTTCCACCACCGATACTGCTACCTTGGGTACTACACAAGATCGCCAAGACAAGTCCTACGACTGATTTTGGTTGTGCCCTATTGGCCAGCGAGAACATGGTTTCCAGAACTCATACAACTCATAGGAGAACCAATGCTGAGCCTACCAGATTGGCCGAATCTACTGATCCATCCTCAAACAAAACTACCTCACAGCAACCCAACAGGACTGCGGCTACACACATGGGTCGTATTACGCACTCTCTGAGGAAAAGAGGATATTCTACTAGAGCTGCGAAAGCAGTTACAATGGCCTTGAGACGTTCTACTCGGAACCTTTATGATGATAAATGGAAAAACTTTGATCAGTTTCCTACACGCAAGGGATTCTCGGCCGTGAAAGCTACACATCCTCAAGTAGCAGAATATCTATGTCATCTGAGATCGACTAAACATTTGAAAGGATCTACACTTTCAACATATTTGGCGGCGATCAGCTCAGCTATCACGATGAACACAGGAATTAAACTCACCAAAGTACCTGAACTCGTCGCTTTACTGAAATCATTTAAACTGGAGGATCAACAGCAGACATTTAGAGCCCCAGCATGGGATCTCAACATAGTGCTGCAACATCTCACCAGCAACGACTAAGAACCTCTAAGAGACACAACTTTTGAGTTCTTACCTCAGAAAACGATATTTCTCCTTGCTTTAGCTACAGCAGCAAGGATGTCTGAAATACATGCTCTCAACTTTGGACGAACAAGATTCGACACAGGAGAACATGCTGCAGTCCACCTGGGACTCTATAGCTAACAATCATCTACCTGGTCAACCAGATCGTCAATTTCACGTACCAGCATTGTCATTAGTCCTCGGACGAGACACAGAGAACTTGTCCCTATGCCCAGTCAGAGCTTTAAAAATCTGCCTAGAACAAACTGCTACAAGAAAGAGAAAGTTTAAACGTCTCTTCATTCCACTATCACCGCCACGACTATTGAAGTGTCTCGAACCTCAGTCTCTTTCTGGATCAGAGCTGTCATTCTACGAGCTTACAAAGCAGCAGGACTGGCTCCATCTAGAGCGTCTAAAGATAACTAGATGTTGAAGAGTACTAGATTATGAAAAATCCACAAAATCTATAAGATTTACTTCCTTTCATGAGTTAAGAGAAGGGGTATGCAATCAGACTGTATTTGTTGACAGCCACAGTGAATACCTTTAGGTGGCTGAGCCACCACCTATTCCATCAGATTCGGTAAACAATAAGCATGAGTCAGGATAAGGAAAAATATGTAATTTTTATGGTAAAATTGATATTTTATACTTATCCCGACTCATGCTTATTGCTTATCTCCCTTCTCCTTTCGATGGTTAAGTGGAAACTTGAATCCGTTTCAGTTCCCTGAAGCGATCGTAACATCACTCACCCAGAGTAGCCTCCCTTTTCCCGCCAAAACGGTCTCACGTGACTTGATCCTAGCTTTTATCACTCTCTCCGAAATAAGCCCACATTAAGCCTTACAGTGAAACCCGTAATGCTCAGAGGGGACGGTTGGGAGGGCTTTAGATCATGAGTCAGGATAAGCATAAAATATCAAATTTGTTTTCAGATTTATTAATTACTTAAAGGTCACATGCAACCAAAAAATCAAACATAATTAAAACACAATTATCACTTATTCATGACATATAATATACATTGCTGGTTATGAAAAAACATATAAACAAAATTATAAGCGTACAATCGCAAATCAAAAGTGCAATATTTTGTACTTGGGTTTACTTCCCAAGAAACGAAGCAGCCGGGATACCGAACCCAGTCAGAGCGGGTGGGTGTGCACTCAAGTGTAACGGCTGGTTCATTTGCAGATGCCCTCACGGCTCATTGTGTGTGTATATATAGAGATGTTGGATTTTGTAAATACATGCTCATTTTTTGTGTATAACATTTTGCAATCAACAGACATCATAACATGTCATGTGTTCAAGTATCACACCTGCCTGTCTGTGTAATTACATAATGTGACAGGGACAGAACTCGGGCCATAAATCAATGCATTTTGTTTATGGTGTATAGCCTGATTGGTGTTAAGTTCAAATTGCATGTGGTCAGTGATAACAGCTGTGTATTGAATATTGTCATTAGCAGACAGGCAGGCAGGCAGACACACAGGTGTCAATAAAACAAGACATTGAGTTTTGTCTGTGACGACATATCCATATCACAGTTAGAAATTCTGTCAACGCTAAATAATGACATTGCTTTTAAGTATCGAACTGAGAAAGTGACTCGGTAAGAAGAACGTGTGGTGAAATAGACAAATGAAATTATATAAACAGTTAATTTACTGTCATAACATATAAAAAGCTCGTGCCTGTGAGATATCAACAAAACATTAGAAAAATAGCTCACACCAAGGCCTTCACAGAGTATTCACCGGACAACCCGCTTCCAAGCTGCGCGAACCTATTTCACTGTGCACGTGCTATGAGCGCAGCCCAGCTGTTGAAACAAGTTTTCCCCCCAAAAGTTGGGGGAAAATTAGTGAAACGTTTGAACTCCAATTTCGCGCGGTTTTTTTCATCACAGTATTTTTCAACTTTATAAGTTGAATTTGCATTTTTGACGCTTTGTTTCGGTAAGTCCAGACTGAAAGGTATCAGAATCTGCAAAGTTGTGTTTTACGTTGCATGTGACCTTTAATACACAGAAATGTCTTTGTAATTATCTTGTTATATTCTCATTAATCCAAACCTCTTTCTAAACTAGTTTTTGAAGTTCGTTTCCAAAGAAGTCTTCTTCAACTATATCCACTATATATATTAAACACAAGATAATAATGACCATTTAACTGTTATTATTACATAGCTTGTACACTGTGACATTTAGCTGTTTTGATAGCAATTGGTCATGTGTTTATTCAGCTATGCTGCCAGCAAGACTTGCTGAGCCAATGATCTCAGTAATGGTTTAGGCTCTATTTACAACTGCTGCTGGAAGTACCCTCATTATAACACAAATTCACTATATAAGCTTCCCTAATGTATTTTCTGTGGTGTAATTGTTATTGTTAAGATTGTCATTGTCAATAAGTGTCATAAATTCCATTGCCAGTGTAGAAATTCATGTTAGACTAGTGAAACCAGCCCGCGCTATAATGAGGTGAAGAGGGTGTATGCCTGGATGGATATTCTTGGCATGTAATTCATACAGTATTGCTCATGGTAGGGTTTAATCACTGGTGTATTCCTCCCAGAGTGCTGTGACCATTGTGTCGTATCATTGAAGTATTTTATCAAACTGCATGTTGGAAGTGGGGTACAAGATTCAGGTAGGATATAACTTAATGAGCCAGAGAACCAGAAGTCATCAGTATATGATGTCTGATATTGCACCCAGGTGCATATATAGATCTTCTGGGAATCCATCTGTATCATACCTTTAATTACCTGGTGATAATAATGAATGTTATGTATATAAACAGTTAAATATTTGGAGAGGTTTGCGCTTGCATGAGAAGTATCAATCTTTTCTGGCAGTGTTCAATAGGATTTTGAGAATGCTGCTAAAAAGAGTAATATAATCCTGAACATGTTTCATTTGTCAGCATTATTATGTTTCTATGGCAATATTAGATCATGATACTAGTCATGTAGAAAACCCTATCAGTTCACCTTATAGTTTTAGGGACCATTCATAATTTATGGCTAAGGGGGGTGATAAGGATTTTTATGGAGAAGCATGTACAATATGAATGACACCCCCCCCAAGAATTTATGTACAAAGTAAGTGACATCCCCCCGATGTCATGTACAAAATCAATGACACACACACACCCCACACCCCCCCGAATGTTTAAGCATAATTTTAAAATACTGTAATGTACAAAATCACTGCCCCTGCCTAGTACACGTGTACAAAATTGATGACCCCTCCCAAAACAAAATGGTTGACAACAAACCACACACACCCACCACACCACAGTCATCAATGGTGAATCATACTACAAATTTTAAAATACTGTAGAAATAATGACCCAAGAAAATCACTGTCCCTGCCTGAGGACCAATGAAACAAAATTGATGACCCTCCCAAAACAAAATGGTTGACAACAAACCAAGAAACGAATATAATATGCTGTAACTACAAATCTGTTTCAGCCAAAGTTGCTGATCTGGAACAAAAGCTGACCACTGCCCACAATGAGATGGACAGCCTCCAAACCAGCATGACTACAGAGATATCTACCCTGTATGACAAGACAAGATCTGAAACACAGCGAGACATGGACCAGTTTCAGACCAGGATAGTCTCCCTTACACGCCATAATGAAACTCTACAGGCAGAGGTAACAACTGTCAGAGGCCTCTGTAATCTCAGCCAATCTCATAGGCTGTCTTTGGTTTAATGTTGTCAGATATGTCATGGTTTATCGGAGCCGTACTATAACAAAGAAGTCATTTCCTTCATGCAGTGTGATAACAAGGACTACACAGTATTACTGATATCCTTCATCTTATCAGATGGTAAATTATGTAGAAAATAAATCATTTGTAGTATTTAACACAAAATCTACACAGACATTCATTCACAAATTATGAATCTTATTAAGATTCAATATCAGTCGCTGTCAACGATTTAGCTCTAAATATATTGCTATACAATTCACAAACAAACAAACAACATACTACAAATATGTTTTGTATGCTTAATTTCACAGCAGACACATTGATGCTAACTGAATCAGTTAAAACTGGCTTGTTATTTATATGGATCGTGGCTTCAGTTGGTATTGTGGGTGTCTTGTAGGTGCTGAGTCTGGAGAAGCAGCTTGAGTCCTCCCAGAGAGAGTCTGATGCTATCAGGGCCCATGCTGAGAGATCCAGGGCCATTGAAGCTTATAAGCTGGAGGCTAATTCACTTAAGGTAAGCAAACTGTCTGCAAGTCAGTTGACATACTTTAAGTCTGTCATTTTTGTCATGAAGTGATCAAAAAGAGTCTGTCAAAAGTCTGTAACGTGTAAGAATTTAAATGCACATTGATATTTCTTGGACAGAGATGTATATTTTTTTTAAAGACATCCCAGTGAATGCAAACACTGTAGACAGACACAACTACTATAATGTATTTGAGATTTTGTAGTTAGTCACAACACAAGATGGGAATTAGTCATGATCTGCCTGAGTTAGCCTGTCACAGTACGCAAGCTGATCACAATTGTGAAGTGGACTGTCAATGGCTAGAAGCTCAACTGAGTCAAAGAATCAAATATTAGATGTAGGATATGACCAGGTGTGGTACAGGTTTGTATGTGCGGATGTTGTTTTTCCAGACTGAGCTGGATCATGTGAAGATGCTGCTTCACCAGAGTGAGAGTCAGGTGAAGGCTGAGATCGACCGGGCCCAGAACGCCCAGCTCCAGGTTGTGAAACTCACCGAGATCAGGAATCTTCTTCAGCAGCAGATAGACTCAGGAGGAATGGGGTCATCTGTTGCTGAGAAACAGGTAGGTAACAGTACATCAGTGACAAAGCACATGGTAAACCGTTCTTTTCGCCAGTTGGAATTGTTGTTTTCTTCTTTTTCTGTTATTGCAGTTAAAAAAATTCTGGTGTTTAGTTGTTTTACAAGGTATGAAGCGATGGAGATGCTTTTCTGTCTGTTCTCTCTGCTTTGTCTATATTATGTGTATCACACCGAGTGCACAAACTTTGACAACCTCACATCTGCAAATGTCTTTCTATTGCCTGCTTGTGTCATATACATGTATTCAGTGCATATAAATGTAACCACTGCTGATGTACATCCTTTCAATCACTGACATTATCTCATACTGACTGATCCTATACCTGTGATGAATGTTCTATCTGTGTCACTTTCTTTTTCTTCCATCTGTATGTTGTGCATGTCATGACTTTGTGAATAAACTGATCAATCTCATGTTGACTGTTTATTTCCTAATCTTATACCCAATTTCCCAATCCCTTTCCCTGAACATTTGACATGGAAACTCCTCCCAGCTTGCACCCTGAACATTCTACCTCAACTGTCTCATCTTCACCACCATCTTATTTCACTATTCTTTCCAATTATCTGCATGTGAAGCCCTTTTCTGGTGTCCCCCGCCGTGATGTTGCTGGAATATTGCAAAAAGCGGCGTAAAACCAAACTCAGTCAGTCAGTCAGTCCAATTATCTGCTTCATTGCACATCCTGTGTCTCTCGCTGCAACACACCGTTTTTGTTTGCAATTCTTCACTACCCTGCTTCAGTGTGATCCTATGATCCTGTACCCTGCTTTGATATGATCCACTACCCTGCCTCAGTATGATCCTATGACCCTGTACCCTGCTTTGATATGATCCACTACCCTGCCTCAGTATGATCCTATGACCCTGTACCCTGCTTTGATATGATCCACTACCCTGCTTCAGTATGATCCTTTGATCCTGTACCCTGCTTTGATATTATCCACTACCCTGATCCTATGATCCTGTACCCTGCTTCTATATTATCCACCCCTGCTTCCATATGACGTACCCTGCTTCTATATTATCCACCCCTACTTCCATATGACCTACCCTGCTTCTATATTATCCACCCCTGCTTCCATATGACGTACCCTGCTTCTATATTATCCACCCCTGCTTCCATATGATCCACCACAATGCTACAATATGATCCACAACCCTTCTAAGCTCTATTCTGTCATAGTTCTTCAATACCATTCACCTTCCTCCTTCATTATGATCCACTACCATGCTGGTGCTAAATAATCCACCTCTTAGGTGCAAGCATTAGAGCAGCGACTTCGAGTAACGGAAGACCGACTGCACCAGGAGAGAGCTGATCGGGCCAACAGCCTCTCCACAGTGGAAGAGAAACTCTTATCTGAGAATGCTCGTTTACAGGTGGGTGCACTTATATTGTCATTTTAACAATGATCAGTCTTTCAGACTAGCACTAAGATGAAGTTTTAAACGTGCATGTTTACTCCAAGATTAGGGGTTCATGTGGTGTGTGTTAAAATTGTCTTCTGGTAATTACTTGAGATAGGCATCTGCATGCTTTTCTCCAAGTGGAATTCGATGTAGAATAGGCCAATGTTCATATTTTACTCAAAGAGGTATCATGTGCAAACTTGACTCAAAGAGGGAATGTGAAGTATAATTGGACTAATGTACCTGCATACATAAGTGAGAATCCATTTCTACAAAGCACATACTTTTGACTTCTTCAGTCATCAGAGAAAGGGCTGACACGGCAGCTCCAGCGAGAGAAGGACAAATCACGGAACCTGGATCAGAGATGCCGTGAATTGAAGGTTGAGAACGAGAACCTTCGTCTCTCAGTCCCCCTCGACGACACCTACCTCATCAACGATAACACCAACATTCCATGCAACAAACAATCCTCACAGAAACAGGAGCAAAAGAAGGTGAAGTATCTTCTATATGTTATATTCCCAGTTGACAGAGATATCATGAAACTGACCAACATAAGTTCATTTGTGTGATATACTAATTGCACTGAGTCGTTGTTATCACTGTTTTGCATGTCTGTGTAGAACAAGGGTGTCTCTGATTCATCAGTTCAAAGCACAGAGTTATCTCCCTTACAAGGATCCCCTGATCATGGGTTTGAATCCAAGATTTTTGAGTTGATCATGATCCTTGGTGTGTCAGCACCATATATGTTCTAATGGGTTTCAGCAAAGTTGTTACCTCTACAAACTGTAGCCCTCCTCCCTCATGATCTTGACATGCTGTGATTAAACTCTTATTGTTCAAAGCGGCTTAACATTCGGCTCATCCACATCTGTAATCTAATTTTGAGGATATGTTTGTATCTTAAGCATGCATGGGAATAAATCTTTAGGAAATATGATCAAACTAAAGCTACTTATTATTCTAACATACTGCATCCTTTTTGAAACTTTTTGTCATTGCATTCTTTGTGTTACATTTATTTTGGGGCAAGGCCAGCTGTTTATTTTGTACACCACTGTATGTGCCACCTGTGTGTTTCCACTGTCCTTCACTGCACTCACCTAGGTCTCCGACATCAAGTTCATCCTGTCTGAGATGGAAAAGCAGGCTGGACTGACCGCAGACCAGGAGAAGGAGATCATCTGTCATCTGTGGAACACTTGTGACTCTGCGCAAGACGGCAGCTGCAGCAGTGGGAGCTGCATCTGGTGGACCTGGAACTGTGTGGGGAGGATGTGGAGCAAGGGCTGCAGGTGGAAGCTAACCTGGGGAACTAGACTAGTAGCAGGGCCACGACTAATTGAGTACATGTCCTTCAGAGGGTTTTGTCAGCAAGGATATTTTGAAGAATTTGTTTTGTTGGGGTGATTTTTTGTGGAGGTTGGTGGGGTCTGAAGACTCAGTAGTCAATTAGTTGTGCCCTAGCCAAGCATGGAAGCTGTAGTTGCCAGTGTAGTCTTCTTTGTATGATTGTTGCCTCACTCTATAATAGTGTTACATTCAGTGGATAAGTATCCTGAACTACTGAACTGTTTTCAAGTCGTATATTGATTTCAAGATGCATTATACACTGACGTAGAGAAGACAGGCTGCTTATAGTCAGTGTATGAAATAAGCCAAAACCCCAGCCAGACATCAGGGCTGGTAACTTCAAAATGTTACCAGCCCAAAATGGATTTAACCAGACCAGACACCAAGATATGGTAAATTTACTCAGATGTATGGAATATCTAAAAAAATTACCAGACCATTGGGCTGGCTAACTGTAAATTTAGACCGTCCGTCAGAAATCTAGCCTGTCTCAGGGGGTCAAACGGGCCTTCGTACACTGTTATAGTATAAAACCAAGACAAGATTCACAAAACTGCATATAGCCCTTGTGATATTGCTACAGCGTAAAACAGACACAAGCATAACAACCTAGATATACTATGTTCCAAACTTTCTGGTATCTCTTTGTAAGTAGTGACTTTCTGCTAAAAATCGTTCAGCAAACACTCAGACACAGCTCTTAATAGGAGCCAGTTCTTATTGGAGACCCGTCACTTAAAGTTTCACGGAAATATAGATTCTCCATTGGTATTTTATTTGAAAACTCCATTGTAAACATGAGGCACACCCACCGCTTATTGGAGATCAGATGCTTGTTGGAGACCCGGCGCGCTTATTTCTTCAACAGTTGCTTTACCTCTGGCACTTGCTCATCACGCCGAAGATCTGGGTTGGATTCCCCACATGGGTACAATATGTGAAGCCCATTTCTGGTGACCCCCACAGTGATATTGCTTAAATATTGTTAAAAGCGGCGTAAAACCATACCCACTTACTCATTATTGGAGACCGGTGCTTATTAGAGAACCAGCGAGGAAATATTGTGTACACCAAACATCCTTTAACTTTAAGCTTCTTCTTGCTTCAATCTTGTGAGTGTTTGTGATGTAGTAATGATGGTCATCTACATCTATGATCTGTTCCAATACCTGTCTGCCTGTCTCTGAGTTTGTAAACCTTAGTCTTGAGAATGGTGTACAATATATACACCCAGTGTTTTAATATGCCTCTTTGAAAGTGAATGTTGTGCCATATTAGCTATGTGTGTACTGCTTGCCTGTTTTAGTGATTGTATGAACAGCAGGATATATGAACTTGACCTATGTTACTTATTTTCATAGGTAATATACAGATTGTACAATATGTGATATTCATTGCTTGCAATTATATTATGAATTTAACTGATACTGTTGTTCTGTTGCAGCACTAATAGTTTATAGATTTTCTTGGCTTTTTGTATTTTTTTATAAGCCTTGTTATTTCAATTATCATGCTTTCTTCTCAATGTTTTCAAACAGTTATTGTTAGTAGTTAAGTCAGGGAACAGGGACTAATTCTATCAACACATCTAGTCACCTCTTTTCAATGTTAAGAATGTTGACTGGCCTGCATTCGGTATTTTGTAAGACTTATCAAAATGAAATGATGTAACTCACTGGACACATGAAAAGATTTGTCCTCTGCACACTAGACACTGATATTCACACATTTTACCACCACAGGTGGATATTAGGAAGCTGCTAACATTATCAGATTTCTGTTACAAGATAGAGCCTGTCACAAAAACGGGAATTTACCTTATGTTTGATACACATATCTTTGATGATATGACTTTAATCTTGTAACTTTGTTTATCCTGATCTATTACTATATAGTGATCATAGATTGATGTACACTTTCATTATAGATCAGTTAATGTTTCACAGTGATTGCAAAACCATGTCAGTTGACATCCTTAAACATTTGTGAAATATCTGGGTTTTTACATACTTGCCAAAAAGAAGTTTTAAAAGTGGGGAAAGTTTGTGGCCTCTGATGGTGTGCTGTAGCACTCATGCCAGGTATGCTTTTCATTTTTAGAACCTGCGAGAGATGAAGGGGGAATATGAGAACAAGCTGCATCAAGTGGAGGAGAAGATTGAAGATGTCCGCTCCGAGAAGATGGCCTTTGAAAACACATACAAGGAGTAAGTGTTGGAAGGTTCCTTAAATTTTCTGAGAGTGTTAGGATTTAAACAATGAATCAGTTTAGAAATGGGTGTTTCAGGACTTCTGACCACAGCTTTAGAAATGTATTCCAATGACACAGTGCCAGTGCGGATATGTATGAAAGCGTAAAGTGATGTATATGATTCATAATTGACTGCATGACCACACTCCAGCCTATCCAAGGCTCCTCACAGTGATATTACATTGGCAAAGCTCTCTGTACTATTTCTGCTAGGAGGTGACCTACAACATTGAGTTGAACTTACAACCATCTGACTGCTATGTTTAGAAATAAATGTTCAACTATTGTGTAATTAGTTTCTTGAGAATGTATTTGGGATGATGGGTGTCTGTCTTTCTCTAGAACCAGTATGATAAAAATGGATTCACCTGGGAAATAGTAAGTCACTTCTTCTGAGTGAGTGAGTGAGTTGGGTTTTATGCCGCTTTTAGCAATATTCCAGCATTATCACGGCGGGGGACATCAGAAATGGGCTTCACACATTGTACCCATTTGGGGAATCGAACCCGGGCCTTCGGCGTGACGAGCGAACGCTTTAACCACTAGGCTACCCACCGCCCCCACTTCTTCTGAGGTTAGTGGGAAATTTGATCATTCTTGCAATGTACCGATGACATTGGGATGGTAACAAAGGCATGCTGGGATGCAGCTTGAAGACAATCACACAAAGGGAGGTAAATCTGATGTTGCTGTGTTACAGGCAGCTGTCAGTACTGGTGAAGGAGAAGCATGAGGCATGTGCTCGGCTCCAGACGCTGGAGGACATGATGGAAGCCATGAAGAAAGAGAATGACATGCTACGATTCAGCCTGGCCTCATCAGCTCCTGAGTGTAATGCAGAGAAAGTTTCGGCACAAAATGAAGGTGAGGTTTGAATGAGATTTCACCATCAATCTTAATGCAGAATTATTGAGAGTCGGTAGTTCAGTAGGTGATGGCATTAGTCAAGGTTGACACTTGTGAGTTTCTGGGTCCTCAGAACTATCATATCCTGAAACACTGACTATTGAACATGTGTACCTTTTGGTGGAGGGTTTTGTTCGAAACATGCATCTGTTCACAGAGCAGCAAAACTGGTAACCAGTAGGAAAGATTGTAATGTGAATGCAAGAAAACAGGCAGCTTAGTTGTATGATCCTAATGGACTTGAGATTGACTTTTGAGTTGTCCAGGGTAAAACATGTTATAGGCAATGGATGCATCACAATATAAGTGTGCTTTGATGGAGTATTCACTGTATTTGGTTATAATCATTACAGCCCGTGTGGAGTCCCTGACTCTAGAGATCCAGAACCTCACAGGGCAGACAGCACAGCTCCACAGGAACAGCCAGCAAATGCAGACAGAAATTGAAACATTGAGGTCACAGCTGCAGTCACGGGACCAGGAGTTGCAAGAGACCAGGTCGCAGCTGGACATTGCCCAAAGCCACCACACTGACGATTCAGACAACAGGAGACAACACAAGATTGACCAACTCGTGGCTAAGGTGAATTGTCCTTCAAACATTTATTTGAGTCATTATGTTTTAGATTTCTGCAGCAGGAACTGATGTAGTTTTCAAAGTGATTAATGACAAACAATTTACAATCATGTAGGGTCTCCTCACACAAGGAAATAATGGAAATATATGCTTTGTCAGGTCAGTGGATGAGAGCAACACATTTCTTGACAAGACAACCCCAAAATTATTAAACCTATCATTAATACTCCAGTTCCTGACAAATCTCTTGTGATTAGTTGTGGATTTTGAATCTAGACCAAGCTGGTTAGCTCCATCATTGGGTATGCATGCACAAAGTGATCTTAGCAGTAAAGCTACTGCAACATAAACAGAGGCTTCTGGTACCAAAGTGTTATGTTCACAATGTGCAAGTGGAATAGTGTTGGCAGGGAATGTTGTTCAACCACTATCTTCCAACTGTAAAGCTGATGGATATATGAATTGATGATGCAGGTTAGCAGTTTGCAAGATGAAGTCAAGTCACTTAGTGACCGCCTGGGCAGTGTTAAAGTGGAAAACACTCACCTGGAGAAACAGCTGGAGGATGCCAACAGGCAGCTGACCCTCACCAAGTCCAGATCCAGGGACCTGATGGCGGCAGGGACCACTGAGGCCAAAGGTGAGTCACCAGCTGTAACACACTACCCATCAGGGTGGAGAGTATGGCATCATGCTCATACATTAGTTAAATGTAGTTTGTTCCCATAAAAGTACAGCAGTTGTAAGTGTGTGGAAGGCTGAGATGACAGCTAGAAGAAGGAGAGTGAGGTAGTTGTATTGGTTTTGTTCCTATCTTGCAGGTAAGAGTTTTGGAGGCCGAGATGGCACAGAAGGAGAGGGAGTTGCTGAAGATGACAGCTCAGTTCCATGAGTCAGATATGGCACTGCAGCAGACAAGGCAGGACCTGGGCTTCCATCAACAGCACATTGCAGATCTGGAGGGTCAGGTACGGTATAGACCACACTCATTTCATGACAACTAACAGCATTCTAATGAAACTGATGTTGTTGTTTTATAAGTCTCTGTCACTGTCCTAACCTATTTCTTTACACCAAGATAAATATCAGTATATTTTGACCTTATGGGACACCGTCCAATCAAACGCGAGATGGCCGAACGGATTTAACCAATCAGACAACGAATACTTGTTAGGGTTCGGCGGGACTTACACAACAGTTTTTGGATTTTCTCTTCCCTGGTCACCGACACTGATCTAACACAAACGAAAGTCCTCATAAAACGCAGATATTGGACCTGCAGTATATATGCTTAGGGGTTGCTAATGACATGGTTACTATTAGTATTGGCTTATATTTCTGCAAGATGATATCCTTGAATATTGAAAAAAATGCTATTTTCAGAGACTGTTTACTCATTACTCATAAGCGATCATGCGGAAAAAAGCTTTCTCAATCGTTCGAGTTTTTTAGGTAAACGTTCAAACGGTATGTTTTTGGTAAGCTGTATTCTGATTGGTCAGTCCAAAAGGTTAGCTGGCGCGACCTTCTACTAGGGTTTGTTAGACTCATTGTAGCAGTGTAACGAATAATACTGAGTCTAAGTTTACTTAGACTGCTGTTGCATGAGCTACAGATGCTGTATGAGACTAAACTGTATAAGATAGTTCTGTAGAGGCACTGTTGTACAAGGTACGGATGCTGTATGAGACTAAACTGTATAAGATAGTACTGTAGAGGCACTGTTGTACGAGGTACGGATGCTGTATGAGACTAAACTGTATAAGATAGTACTATTGAGGCACTGTTGTCTGAGGTATGGATGCTGTATGAGACTAAACTGTATAAGATAGTACTGTAGAGGCACTGTTGTCCGAGGCATGGATGCTGTATGAGACAATGTCAGAGATGAGACTCTGTACTGAAGGGGCAGTGTGCTGGGTTGTAGGTGGAGAGCCTGGAGCAGCAGGTGGTGCAGCGAGGGCAGATGCTGGAGATGTCATGTGGGAAGGAACAGGAGCAGCTCCAGCAGTTCCAGCTGGTGAAAGACTCACTTGATGCTGCCACCAACTCCCTGAACCACACCAGGACAGAGGTAGGAACTGACACTGGCAACCAGTTGGGCTTTATAACCTCTTGTTTTAGAATCCATATGATATAAACTGGCCAAAAATGAATACAAACGCAAAAATAATGTATATTCTTGATCAAAATCCAAAGTCTTTGATTCAGAAAGGAGACTGACTGTTGTCAATCAATAATGCCTTTGGCAATGAGTTTGAAATTTCGTTCAGTTTTTTTCAAACAGATGAACATTCACAATTTAGCAAAACGCAGCCACTTGCTTACCATGTCTCCCGAACGCACCAATGTATAGGCAGGGATTTTGTTTGATTGTCACTTGCTACTGAAGTTAGAGAAAGATCCAGAAAGATGCCCCAACTCAGCGAAGCAGAGAGGAACAATGCTGTCGGTCGTTTGGAAGCTGGTGAATAATTTTTTGCAGTAGCAAGAGTGTTCTCTGCGTCCTCTAGAGCATCCAACTTACCGGGCCTGCGTAAGATATCGGCACAGACAGCGAGGAACAGATTGCGAAAAAGCAGGACTTCGGGGTCGACGTCCTGTTCGTGGGGGCATTTTGACAGCACAGCACCATCAATGACGTCGTCAATGGTGTCAACAACACAGATAATGGCCACAACTGCGTGGGAGAAGAGTGTGGATCAGTGACGAATTCCGTTTCCTACTCTATCGTCCAGATGGAACAACTCGAGTTTACAGACGTCCGGGACAACGTTTTGCGCCATGCTGTATTCAAGAAGTTGACAGATTCGGCGGTGGAAGTGTTATGGTTTGGGCAGCCATCTCACACACTGGAAAAACAGATCCTGTCCGTGTGCACGGCAATCTCACGGCTCAGAGGTACACAGATGAGATCCTGAGACCTCACGTCCTACCCATCACCTGGAACGTCAATGTCATTTTCCAGCAAGACAACGCCCAGCCACATGCAACTCGATCACAACAGCTTACCTTCAGGCAAACAACGTCCAGGTTCTGCCTTGGCTATCAAAATCGCCTGATTTGAATCCCATAGAGTACCTATGGGATGAGTTGGACCGACGTTGTACGTCAACATCAACATCAACAACAGCCGCAGACACTAGAACAATTAGCTCAAGCACTTCAGGAGGAGTGGGCCAACATTCCCCAAAGTGTCATTCAGACCCTTGTTGGGTCCATGGGAAGGAGATGCCAGGCTGTTCTTGATGCCAACAGTGGGCATACGCAATACTGACCACGTTGATGACCTTGACCTTTGAATGTGACATTTCAACCCTGTTGTAATGACCTCCACTTCTGTGTTCTCCATACTGCAAATTTCCTCCTTTGTAACATTATTTATTAACATATTAAATGTTCCTAAACAATTGAACCAAAATCTTGTTTTGCTTTTCTTTTTTTTGGGTAGTATATGTTTAAGTACATTTGCATGCATCCTGTTCAAAGAAACATGTCTGTGGGTTGAATGGATGATGCGTCTGTGCCCATAGTTCAACGTGATCCAGCTGGAACTGAGCAAGGAGAGGAGTCGCCGGGAGGCTGTGGAGAAAGAGCTGCATCATGCACAGCAGCCCCGGGACCCCGATGCCGACATAGTTGCACCAGGAGCAGGGTCTGCAATGGAGGTCCGAGTACAGGAGCTGGAGAAAGAGCTGGATAGAGTCCGTGGACAGCTAGTGGTAAGTGGCTTTTCTGTCTTCTTATGTCACATGATGTACTTTCACTACCACATTTACTTTGAAATACAGAGAAGGATATGGCTCTCATAGGACATGTTTCCTAAGTTTGACCTATAGCTGCCTTTAGTAGAGTTGTTGTCATTGTAGTGATTAGTTCAACTGGCCACAGAAATCATTCACTGGCTTGGTATCCAATTTCCATTTTCCAGTATCAGACTGCCATCCTTTGAAGTAAAAAATAGTAAAATAGCATGGATTAATGGCAGTCAAATTGGTCAGAATATAGTAGTGATTTCACTTGAGTCAAGTTCCATCGGGACATTTTCATGATTTTACCAAACATATTATTCTTTGATACTACTTCTATTATTGACAAAGCAAAACCAAGCTCAGTTTCACGACCATATCTTCAGGTTGAATAACCAAACAAATTTGGTTGGTATTGTGACATAATGACCTGATGCTACCAGAGCTGAGAATTGTGAGGTGGTGATTTTCTGTTCCTGCAGGATGCTGCCTCAGTCCTGCAGTGTAAGGAAGAGGAGCTGTCTGGGGAGAGGACGGAGACAACACGTACAAGGGAGGACCTGGAGAGGGAGAGGACCACGTCCTGCCAGGTGTCAGCAGAGAAGCTGCAGCTACATCAGCAGCTAAAGGTCTGTGTCATTCTATCATGGGACCATGTTGCTACATCAGCTACCTTAGGTACAAGTTGGCATAGTATGTGATGCATATAGTGCATAATATGTTTGTATTCAAGAGAATGAACTGTGTGACAGGACTGCCAAATGACTGTGGCAGGCTGTCAGTAAGGATAGAAAGTATATGATCAAACGTCTATGTGGCTGTGGTAGACTGTCAGTGAGGACAGAAATTGTATGATCAAACCTCTATATGAATGTGGCAGGCCGTCAGTGAGCCAGAAAGAGTATGATCAAACCTCTATATGACTGTGGCAGACTGTCAGTGAGGACAGAAAGTGTATGATCAAACCTCTATGTGACTGTGGCAGAATCTCAGTGAGCCAGAAAGTGTATGATCAAACGTCTATGTGGCTGTGGTAGACTGTCAGTGAAGACAGAAAGTGTATGATCAAACCTCTATATGAATGTGGCAGGCTGTCAGTGAGGCAGAAAGAGTATGATCAAACCTCTATATGACTGTGGCCTACTGTCAGTGAGGACAGAAAGTGTATGATCAAACCTCTATGTGACTGTGGCAGAATCTCAGTGAGCCAGAAAGTGTATGATCGAACCTCTTTGTGACTGTGGCAGGCTGTCAGTGAGGACAGAAAGTGTATGATCAAACCTGCATATGACAGTGACAGACTGTCAGTGAGCCAGAAAGTGTATGATCAAACCTGTGTATGACTGTGGCAGGCTGTCAGTGAGGAGAGGAACAGTTTACTGGAAGAGAAGGGTCAGGCGGAGGAGGACCTGGTGAAGTTGGAGAGTCGGCTGCAGGAGGTGGTGCACAAGTACCAGATGGAGGCCAGCAAGCAGCATGACAACTTCAACACAGCTTACACTGAGTCACAGACACCGCAGGACCAACAGGTACATTTTAGTTGTAAATTCTAATGTTGAACAATGGATAGAGATATGTTTGTCACATGTCCAAGAGTCTCTTTGACAAACAGTGGATACAGCCTCCTAGCCTGAGGGTTGCTAAAAGGACACGTTTATGTTTTCTGACTTTTTAAATGAGCTCATTCCAGCATGCAATGTTCAATGCAATTGTAGGATTGAGGTCTGGATGTACTGACCACATGTTTTACGCTGGAAGATATTTAATGTCAGTGGTCACACACATTTCATTACATCCAAACACAGTTTTTCAAGCACCTTAGAAAGTATTATATAGAAAAGAAATACAGTTAAGCTCTACCACCATGTATATATATCATGCCAGTGACTGCATGCACCTGTCTGTTCATCATGATACTGTGATCCAATAGGGGTTCCCAATCATTGTGTACCAGGATATTTCAATCTTTCTATCTTGGATGGTTTGTTTATTATGTCATCAAAACATGACCCTTTGCAAATTTTGAGTTGTATATATAAGTGATTCTTTTGATTGCTGTGAACAGATGCTGTCAGAAGTGAAGTCTCTTCGACTGCTTGTGGAAGGAAGGGAGAAGGAATCTATGTCTCTCAATGATAAGATCAGGTAAATACCAGAGCCAATTTGCAGTTGTTGCCTTAGTTTTCATAGATTGAGCACACTGATGTCTGACAAGTTCAAACAATTTTCTGACCTTGAACACTTTTTGTAGTCGTCAGCAGATGGAGATAGGCTTCCTACAGCGCCGCATCGAGCTACTCCACCAGGAGAACCAGTATAACCGCGAGGATGTCCGCCGCCTCAGTAGCCAGCTCCTCCAGAAGGTACACACCAAGCTCGAACATTGCTATATATCTTAGACTTTTCATGATCCACAGATTCTGGGTTCAGTTTTACCAATGTACTCAATATGTATTGCTTAAATATTTCTACACATTAACTGTCATGTTGTCATATAATTGTTTGATATAAACACTGCACACTCAGTGAGTGTTAGTGTGATACTCAGAACATCAACAGTCATAACAACTGCATAGCCACAAACATAATGATAAAATGAGATCATCATCCTCATCCAACAAGGATAACTAACACAGAGCTTCATAGAAGCTGCACAGAGCCACAGTGATGAAACAGCTGGCATCTTTACCCTCTGCCTGTGCTCATGGGTTCACTTAAGTGGTAATGTACGAGTGTTGTGTTTCTGATTTTGTAGATGAAAGAAAAGACAGCAACAGTGGAGCTGAACACATACTTGGCCCGAGAGAAGTCGACCCTGCAGCATGAGAACAAGCAGCTGACCCGGGACGTGGAGCGGGAAAGGGATATCACCCACAGGAGGAAAGCTGAGGTGTCAGAGATCATCAAGAAGGTACGTGAAGATCAGGGGAGGACTTCCCCCCCACAAAGTAGATTGAGTGTGTCAAGCCTTCTAGAAGGCAGGTAAACATCAGGGAGGACTTCACCCACACAAAGTAGATTAAGTGTGTCAAGCTTTCTAGAAGGTACTTATAAAATCAGGGAGAGGTACTTCATCCTCAGAAGTCATGAAGCTGATGGACTTCACCTGCGGTAGCTAGGCTGAGAAAAATACACAGTCTAAAAAAACAAATCTGATTTTATATATGATATGGACATTTAAAAAAAATTCTTATCCAGATGGAGAAAACTGAGACAAGTCAGCGTGGCACTGTGCAAGAGCTGCATGAGAGACAAGGCCATATTGCCAGTCTGGACACAGATTTACGCCAGGCCAAGCGGGAAAACTCCTACCTCGAAGCAGAGAACCAACAGCTAAAGTTGAAGGATGACCAGCTGAAGGTGGAGGTCCAGAAACTGACGTCCATGATTCACTCGCTGGAGAACAGGCTCGAGATGGAGCAGGCATCGGTAAGCTGATACTTCCTAGGATGTGTGACGAGGGAGAGGCCAAAAGTCCCTGACATCAGTACCTTCGAATACCAATGCTGTAGTGTCTGTAGTGTGTGTACTTCTAAGGTTTCGGCAAAACTGTTATTATAGTGATCTAATGAATTGATAATGTGTTTTGACTGACTGTACTAAGTGTTTTGTGTGTTTTCCCCACACAGCTGGCTGGTGAGCGGAACAACTATACCAAGAAGAAGGAGGAACTTGTGTCCACCCAACATAAGTTAGATACACTTCAGCGTGAATACAAAATGCTTCTCAATAATCTGGAAGCTGAGAGAAGGGGCTATGAACAACTCAAGGTGAGAATTTTTTTCTCAAGTTATTGAAAAGCATCATATTTCATGTATTAATTCATTCCCAGACCATAATGGAAATTAACCTTGAAAGTCATTGTTATGCCCTTACAGTCAAATGTGTAAGGGGTTTGAAAGTTGAATTGATAAATCAGCAATATTCAAGGGCTCCAGAACACCACTTTTTACCCCTGAAATACGCCAAGATGAACTAATATCTTTTACCATGTCACCTTTTAACAGAGACTTGTCATACAGACTTTTTCAGATAGACATCAGCCTGACTTGTAATTTACTTTCCTAGTGAATGCTATTCTTTTATGTTCGATCACAACTCTCCTCCTTGACTGCATTATGTTTCACCAAATGTGGTTGTTGTCAATATGATGCAATGCTTGAATATTGACTTAAACTGTTGAAGCCTTTTTGGAACAGGGCTCAAACCAATAATTTTACAAGAACCCACAACCCAGGTCTGGTTGTTGTTTATATGTGTGAAGATTCCAGAAGTCAGAATCGGTCCTCAGTAGTGTATGCTTGTCAAAACAGCAGACTGAAATAAGGATGGCAGAGTTTCAGTGTACGTCTGGAGTCGTCAAAGTCTGAAACTGGATTGTGCTGGTTTTACCATCTCCAAGTGCAATTATTTACAAGTTGTCTACAATAGCTGTGATATACCAGTCTGAGATGTAAATCCATCGTTAACTGTCCACAGTCATTCACTATGACTCTGGGTGAGCCAGCCAGTCATCTGAGGTGTGAGAGTTCTGTTACATGCCAGGGACCTAAGGTGGTTGGTTCAGTTCTCATTCATCCAGATTCATTCCCGTTTGACAGCAGTATGATTGTAAATGCCTGAGACCTGCATTGAGACATGTGAGTGATGCTGTTACTTTACTGACAGCTCATTGTATTGTGCAGGAGGAACTATCATCAAGTGAGGCATCGGAGAAGACCCTGCGTGAACAGTTGAACTCGCTCCAGGCTAACCATGACAGCCAGCGCGGCCAGAACCTGGCTCACAGGGACAACCTGGAGCAGCTCCAGAAGGAGAAGACAGCGATCTTCCAAGGTGAGAAAGATTTTATGATTGTAGTGGCACATGGTTGACACTACTGTATACCCTCCATTCTTTACCATGACATCACTATACCATCCATTGATTACCATGACACCTGTATACCCTCCATTGATTACCATGACACTCCATATACCCTCAATGACTACCACCACACATGTATACGCTCCATTGATTACCATCAAACCTGTATACCATCCACTGATTACCATCACACCTGTATACCATCCACTGATTACCATCGCACCTGTATACCCTCCATTGATTACCATCACACCTGTATACCATCCATTGATTACCATCACACCTGTATACCATCCACTGATTACCATCACACCTGTATACCATCCATTGATTACCATCACACCTGTATACCATCCATTGATTACCATCACACCTGTATACCCTCCACTGATTACGAATTACACCCGTACACCCCCCGTTGATTACCATGACACCTGTGCCTTGCTGCATCACAGACTACCAGGATGTGTGTCGCCAGCTTGGGGAGAAAGAGAAGAAGATGTATGACCTGCGGGATGAGTGTGGGCGGCAGGTGGAGGTGGTGAGGAAGGATGCAGCACTACACCAGACCAGGATGAACCAGGAACACGAGTCCGTGGACAGAGATCTGAAGATGTACAAGTAGGAATTTACAAATAATCTCTGCCTTTCTTTATATTGTGGATTATTTGAAGTTGGCTCCGTATGTGCAAGCTTCAGCTTGTTGTAGCATGACCTTTAGATGTGGCACAGATGCCAAAACCCAGGGATAGAAAGTGACATGTTTAGTCCACTGCTCCTTATAATGATGGCATATACATGTAATTTTGTTGTCTTTTGATACAGCAAAACCTTTAAACTGGCTAATTTCTACTGGTACTGTTGGGCAGTTTGGCAAGGACTATTTACTATTATTACCCATGTGGTCAACATATGGGTAGTTGCATACTAATCTCGTACGTCACACGAGTGTCGTATCGCATTGACCTGTGTCATAACGACTTGACCTGTGATTCTACCGATTTGATTGGATAACTGATGACCTCTCAATAAGGTTACTTTGTGATGGAACTACTTTTTCATTCATAACAAACACGTGAATTCATTCATTCTACAACTTGTATGCATTGTGGGAATGCAAACTATGCGAACGTTATGAGTCGAACTGAGACCTTCTATGCATCGAAAAACATAAACGTAAAGTTTCCACCAGTGATGTTAGCCGAGTGAAGCAACTGCAAACTAAGAAACAGGGTGCTACGGAGTAGTTTAATGTAAGAGGCTGTACGAGGCGATGACAACTGACATGCATCCTGACGTTGCTTACCAAGGTGCAGACGAGCAAGGCATAGTGACGTCATGCAAAAAGTGTACTACAGAACAAAATTCTTCCACAACCTCTTTATTGTAGTGGCATTTTGGAAGTTGCTGGTATAGAGATGACACAACTTTATGGATGATCAACCTCTTTATTTTAACATTAGCGACGTTTCAGTATAGGTTGTTATACCGTTTTCAGGCATGAGAATAAGGTATAAGAACCTATACCGAAACGTCGCTATTGTTGAAATAAAGAAGTTGATCATCCATAAAGTTGTGTCATCTCGCAACCTCTTTATGAAGAGTTTCGGTTTGAAACCATAAAAATAACAAAAATACGCTATTGTCAATTTAATGCATGTAAAAGATGTGGGTATTAAATAAACTACCACACTCGGTCTCATAACATAAGAATTATACGAAACTGTTTCGCTCGGTCAGATAGGAAGAACACTTGTTTCGTATAATTCTTATGTAACAAGACCTCATGTAGTATTCTCTATGTACCAACTTTTCTTGCTGCAAAACCATGGTCATTATGTATATTTTTATAATGCATGTAATGCGGGGGGATATAGTCGACGCCTCGTCCGTCTGTCTGGCCGGCCGTCTATCCGTAATCATTTTGTTTCCGGAGCATGACTCAAAAAACGTTCAATATTTTTCAACAAAAATTGGTAGATATATCAAACAGAACATAAGGTGGTGCCTTTCGTTTTTACAGATTTTTGTCATTTTTATTTTTCTCGGTTTCCATAGAAACGTTTTGGACTTAGTCTTAAAGGGAGGGGTGGGCTTCGTTTCCGGAGCAGAACTCAAAAACTGTTCAATATTTTTCTGCAAAACTATGTAGATATATCAAACAGAACCTAAAGTGGTGCCTTTTGCTATTTACAGACTTTTGTGATTTATTATTTTCGCGGTTTCCATGGAAACGATTCGGACTTAGTCTCAAAAGGGAGGGATGGACTTCGTTTCCGGAGCACAACTCTAAAACTTCTTAATATCTTTCAGCAAAACTTGGCAGATATGTTAGGCAGATCCCAAAGTGGTGCCTTTTGCTATTTGCAGATGTTTGTCATTTATGTTTTCATGATTTCCATGGATTGCATTTAGTCTAAAATCAAGCTGGACTTTAAGTAATGTGAGGCACATCCCAAAGTGGTGCCTTTTGCTATTTTGGCATTTTTATTTTTCCTGGTTTCCATGGAAACGATTCAGACTTAGTCTCAAAAGGGAGAGGTCGCCTTTGTTTCCAGAGCCCAACTCAAAAACCGATCAATATCTTTCTTCAAGACTTGGAAAATATATGAAACATAAGATAAACTGGTGCCTTTTGCTATTTACAGATTTTTGACATTTTTCTTTTTCTTTGTTTCCATGGAAACGTTTTGGACTTAGTCTCAAAAGGGAGGGGTGAGCTTCGTTTCCGGAGCACAACTCGAAAACCGTTGATTATCTTTATTCAAGACTTGGTACATATATCAAACATAACCTAAAATGGTGCCTTTTGGTATTTGCAGATTTTTGGCATTTTTATTTTTCCCGGTTTCCATGGAAACGTTTTGGACTAAGTCTCTAAATGGAGGGTGGGCTTCGTTTCCGGAACACAACTCGATAACCGATCAATATCTTTCTTCAAGACTTTGTAGATGTATCAAACATAAGCTAAAGTGGTGCATTTTGCTATTTGCAGATTTTTGACATTTTTCTTTTTCTTTGTTTCTATGGAAACGTTTTGGACTTAGTCTCAAAAGGGAGGGGTGAGCTTCTTTTCCCGAGCACAACTCGAAAACCGTTGATTATCTTTATTCAAGACTTGGTACATATATCAAACATAACCTAAAATGGTGCCTTTTGGTATTTGCAGATTTTTGGCATTTTTATTTTTCCCGGTTTCCATGGAAACGTTTTGGACTTAGTCTCAAAAGGGAGGGGTAGGCTTCGTTTCTGGAGCACAACTCAAAAACCGTTCGATATCTTTCTGCAATACTTGACAGAGATATCAAACAGATCTTGAAGTATTGCGTTTTGCTCTTTGCAGATGTTTGGCATTTTTATTTTTCATGATTTCCATGAAATATCCAGTTGGACTTTAAGTAACTGTCAGTTGATTTGTTCTTTCAAATTTGTGGGGGCCTGGGAGATTTGTCATCTTCTGATGACTCTTGTTATATCACTGTGAAGTACATGTGTTTCAGTCAGTCTTTTGTTTCGACTGTCAATCCAGTGTCAAGCTTGGTATTCAATTTTCGTGCTTTCTGCACAACAAAATTCACTGCATATAGTTCTTAGGATTAATAAGATTTGTGTTTATGAAGACTGAAGACTTACATTTGATATTTAGCAGGTCACTCATTTCTTCAACTGTTTAAACAGCTAAGCAATAGACTGACAAAATTTGACATTCCGTCTTTTGATTCATGTGGGTAATATTTTGTGTTTGGTCCTAGGGAAGAGATCAATGAGCTCAATGAGAAGCTGAGACAGAAGGATGTGCAACTGAACGCCTTTGGTCGTACGCTGACACAACTGGAAGATGTCACTCGGTGAGTACTTCTCAAGCTACATCACAAACAAACATCAAATAACATGATTTGAAGACAGATGAATTATTTGGTTCTCACTTTTTACAGAGATGTCGTCACCTTGCCCTTTATGTTTTAGAGAGAAGAAGGCGTTAGAGGTGAAGCTTGAGAAGATGGAATCTGCTGGTGAAGAAACCAAGAATCAGCTGGATAGCAGCAGGACTGAGATCTTAGGAATGAAGGAGACCCACTCTCAGCTACAGGTCAGTAGTGGGGTGGGGCAATAATCCACTGTGTATCCATCCATGCATCAGTAATTTAACCTGACGATATTACACATGATACACTTACCCATGTATTGATTAAGCTCATATCTCCGTTTTGATTATTTTTTCTTATCCTGACTCATGATCTTTTGCTTATCTCCCTTTCCTTTTCGAATGGTAGTTGAACACTTGAATCCCTTGAAGTTCCCAAAGCTGACGTAAAAATACACTCACTCACGAGTTACCTCCCTTTTGCCCTTTTCCCGCGCCTTACTTGTCACTCTCTCCCTTTTCACCCAAGCGGATGGTTGGGCGAGCACTGGAGTCCCTTATACGGCTTTATATCCTTTTTATTTAGGTCCTATTCTTCAAAATTATGCTGTATATGGATTTGGCAATAACTACTATGTATTATTTGTAAAAAATTGTAAAAATTATTTGTATTTATGTCATAAATTCATCATAAATGTAACTTTGTTTACATTTCATGAACTCTTGCAGTGTTTGCAGGCACAGGTTATCCATGGCTGATCCTCACCCCCAGTGCCCTTTCGTGCACAAAACCATGTTCTTCCACCTTGCGCTGTACTTATTGTATTGATTTATCAAATCTTCAATTTAATGTTTGTCTTATATCTATAGACGTGCCATGGATCGGGTCAGGAAGTCATCTCAAGTCACGGCTGATAAAACAGGAGATCAGCCTACAAACCGTATGTTGCTTGCTACTGCTGAAGTTCATAATACTGGTGCTATGTTTAGTACGTTGCAGGGGCAGTCAGCTGGTACGGGGGCCAAGGGGAGATCGGCTACAACGCAGTTGACTCCGACTCAAGCTAAGAAAAAGACGTCATCTTCTTCTACATCGCAGAAGAAAGCATCTGTTACCAGATCGGAGGGTAAATCCACGCGTGCTATAAGTCAACGCAGCAGAAATCCTTCAACAAAAGATATTACCTCCACATGAAGTAGACGTTTTTGATGACCCCCCGGTACTTCTACCCGAAGTACCTACGAGATCAGCGACTCAATCGACTTCTAGATCAGCGACGGTCACAGCAGGCCATCGACGGAGTGAAGTTTCTAGATTCGCTAACGCTTCATCTCCCCTGCACCCGGCGGTCCATGATGGCAGGCCATCTAGCCGGACACCGCGCGCTTGAACCTACTCATAGAACTACATCTCAAGACTATGTTGGCGAACGTACACCTTTGCGAAGGTCTCCACAGTGGGACGACTCTGTCATCTTAAAGGAGGATAGAGGAGATGAGATGCCTACTCACAGCTCTACATCCGCGAACCCTGAACATTGAAGGACCCATCTCCACCTAGCCGCTCTAGATCGAGATCTCATATCTCTCACAGACGTTCGCGAAGTCACTCAATACGAGACAGAGGTTCGCAAAGAGAAGGCTCACATCACAGAAGTTCGCGAAGAGATGAATCTACAGATAGAGGTTCGCGAAGAGAGCAGTCTCAAGATAGACGTTGGCATAGGGAGGAATCTTCAGATAGAGGTTCGCGAAAGGATGATGAAGGTTTGAGAAGGGATACAGGTTCGCAGATGGATGAGTCGCAGAGGCCTAGCTCTAATTATCAGGAGACTCTGGATCAGCAAGCAGACTTCGTCTTCCCAGACTCAGAGGTTACAGCGTGGATTACCAACTGGTTGAAATTGGAGTCTCCTTCTAAGGATAAAGATGAAATCTACACTTATATGATGCGTAATGAGCGACTCTGACTCCGTCACTATCCCGCCGATTGAACTTATATCCAAGGTACCCTCTAACCTACACACTGCTTTCGCAAAAGCATCCAAGTACCAGAGTCAGCATCTGCCATCATTTAATGTGAAGAGATTCCCCTTACATCATATGGATCCATTTACAAAGGCGCCTGAATGGGATGACAACATAAAGCTAGTAAACGACTCCCGAAACAAGATGTATAAAGTGCATGATAAAAAATTATCTCAACTGGATACTGCTACAAGGAGGTCTTTCTTTGGGTTGGCCAGGTCCAGAGCCATCAATGAAGCATTGATCAATAAATTCCAGAACTCAAGTTCGGAAGAGGATAAAAGGATATATTCGGCCCTCATAACTCAGAAGAAGGACCAGTACTTTTTATGGGACCATCTGGCATCTATATCTGCAGGTCTCACTTTACTACGCAGACAAAGGCTACTTGCATCCTGTTCTTGGAGTGATAGATTCACCCAACCGCTACTAAGAGCTCCATGGGAGGCTCCTACTATCTTTGGAGGACAAATAGACGATGCAGCTAAGGAAGCTACACACAAAGTTATGATGATAAAATCCATAGATACTCTGGCCAACATCATCCGTCATACTTCGCAAAAGTATAACAGCAAGTACAAATATTCCAGCATACAGAAGGCAGTAGGAGAATGGAGAAGGAGTACTCCAGCTTCAGAGGCAGCAAAGGATCTTTTCGTCGCCCATCCAGAAATTACAGAAGAAACTCAGGGAGAGGACGCACTTCCAGAGGATCCAGCGGAACTAGACGTTGATATCAAGGTTCGGAACGACTGGAGTCTTCCACCCCCAGCCATTCCTGTAAAACTGTCGACAGTGGGTGGACGTCTACAAAGGTACTGGACAAATTGGGGAATACTAGAGGACGACTACGTCTCCCAAGTACTAAGAGAAGGATACAGAGTACAACTCAAGGCCATACCTCCGCTAACCCTCAGCCCAATGGTCTTTGACTATGCAGAGGAGCAGGCAGACAGACTACAAGAAGCCATCAACTCACTACTTATGAAGGAGGCGGTAGAGATAATAGATCAGCATCATCTCTCTCCAGGCTTCTACTCCCCAATTTTCTAGTACCCAAGAAGAACTCCAAGGAGAAGTTCAGACTGATTTACAACATGCACAAATTCAACAAAGACTATCTACTGAAACCAGAGAGGTTCAGAATGATCCACCTACCTCAACTCAGACTCCTCATCCGTCCAGCAGATTACATGGCCAGCATAGACCTACAGGATGCGTATCTACACATCCCCATACATCCAGAATCAAGAAAGTATCTATGATTCCTATTCAGAGGGCAGCACTTCCAATGGAACGTCCTACCGTTTGGAATATCTTCGGCTCCGTGGCTATTCACACGAATAACCAAGCCTATAGTCGCATATCTACATCATCGAGGTCTACGCAATGCTTCTACTTGGACGACGGAATTCAGGTTCACCTAGATGCCAGTCAACTCAGGCTACAGCTGAACTTCACGATCAAGTTGCTCACTCAACTAGGATGGCTGGTGAACCTAATGAAGTCAGGGTTGGAACCAAAACAAGATCTGCAATTTCTGGGCACAAGGTTTATCACAACACAGAATCGTATTGTCGTCCCAGAAGATTGTTGGGTCAAGATACAAGCCATGATTCCACCAGCAGTCATCCCTCCATTAACACTACGATCATGGCAAGTTCTACTCGGTCTACTAACCTCGGCGCAGGACTTGACTCGCACAGGAAGGTCACAACTAAGACCGCTGCAACGGCTCTTGACAAAACATCTAGACAGCGTCGACCCTGGCTTCCAGACAACCTCAAGAGGTATCTACTATGGTGGACGCACAGGTCGAATGTTTGCGGAGGGACTTGTTTACAAGAGCCGGCCTTCGACTCACATCTCTACGTAGATGCCTCGATACAAGGCTGGGGTGCTCATCTCAACAATCAAGTTGCATCAGGAAGGTGGTCAAAAATAGAGCAGCATCTTCACATCAATCTCCTGGAGATGAAAGCCGTGAACAACGCCTTACAGCTATGGTCGAGGATCCACAAGGTACCCAAGCCTGCTACAGCTCACATTCCAGTTGTTTGACATCACGGAGGAGGCAAACATCTTGATAAAGCCCAAGTCAACAACCTAAGTAAGACATGCTACCTCCACCTTAGGTCCATTGGCAATATCCGTCCTCTCATCACCACCGAGGCTGCCCACTCACTTGTCCGATCCCTTATTCTCAGTAGACTGGACTACTGCACCAGTCTCTACTCTGGCCTCAGCGATCTTCTACTGGACAAGCTACAGAAGGTCCAAAATACTGCTGCATGGATAATAAACCATTCTTCTAAACAGACTCACATCACGCCGGTGCTTAAACAACTGCACTGGTTACCAGAGGGCCAGAATACAGTTCAAGATACTTTGTCTCACTTATAAATCACTTCATGATCAGTCTCCTCCTTACATATCTGAACTCATAACTCCGTATGTTCCAGCCCGTGAACTGCGGTCACAACAGCAGAATCTCCTGACAGTACCTCCCTACAAGCTTAAGACCTTCGGTCACAGATCCTTCTCACACACTGCTGCGGTCTTGTGGAACTCTTTACCCTTTGACCTGAAGCTCGCACCAACTCTGGACTCCTTTAATAGCCATCTCAAAACGCACCTTTACATTCAGTTCTGTGACTCATAAACAGCGCACTCTTACTGTACATATTGTTTTATTATTATGGCTTTACGCCTAGTATTTAATAGCTTTGCTGTAAACAGTTAAAATATCGCCCGGCGTTGTATTTTGTTTTCTGTTTTGTTGTGTGCATATTATATTATGTATATCGTGACAGTCCTTGCTATTATCATAGCGTGGTTCTGTTTTTGCAGCCCAAGGGTGTGTCACCTGTAGCTGCAGTTTGTCGCCTCAGGATCGCCACCTGGTTTGCTTTTACGTTGTTTAGCCGGAGGAAGCCCATGACTCCAACAAGGTTGTTCTATGTGTCAGGCTTTCTCCCCGCGACCATCAAGTCCAGACGCGTTGATTACATGTTCTACACGCCCCTACTTCAGGCGGGGACATTTGGGGTCAGGAGTCGCCTAAAGACAAAGATAAAAACAAAGAAAAAGAAGGCTTCGGCTTCCTCTTCGGGATGCTCCTAAACGGGCTTAAGGGTACGTGGGCCCGCTCTCTTTCACCTGCCATCCCTCAACATCACAGGCACCTTCCTCCTGTC